AATTTAACCTAATGCAATGCCTGCCTTCTAAATTCAATTTGGTGTATTATATGATACTGCATTAATATGTATGATGCAGTATTATAATACTGCCTTATAGTCCCTCTCTGCTGGAGGTAATTTTTTTCTCAAATTAGCTAAATGAATGATAAATTGGTGAGAGAAAAGCCCAAAAGCTTTTCTTACACCAAGTATATGGTTCAAAATATAATGCCAATATAATACCTACCACCAATATTATACAGGTGGTAGAGTTCCCCGCAGTACGCAGTGGTACCCGGGGTTCTCTACCCTACTGCTGGTATTATACTGGCAGTAGTGTAGAGTTCCCCGCAATACACAGCAGTACACAGGGTTCTCTACCCTACCATGGGTATTATACTGGCAGTAGAGAACCCCGCGTACCTCTGCGTATGCAGCGGTATGCGGGGTTCTCTACCGCAGGTATATAACTGGCGGTAGGGTAGAGAACCCCACATACCACTGTGTACTGCAGGGAACTCTACCGCCAGTATAATACTGGTGGTAGGGTTGTGTGCTGCCAGTATTAAACCAGCAGTAGAGACTCCCACAACGTATTATCACTGTGATTGGCCACGGTGCAGTGGCCAATAATACTGCAGTGCAGATCCCAACCACTGGATCTGCGCTGCAACAAACAGGTTTGACAAACGGTTATATGCAACAAACTGATGCTACAAACACAATGTTGCATATTTTTATGTTTGTTGCATCAGTTTTTTGCAATTACACAAAGCTGCAAAATATACACTTTGAAGTTAAAAAGACTGTTAAAAATAAACAATAACTTTTAAAGACTTGGAACATGCTTAAAAAAATTTTTTTATACAGCTGTATATCCCCATGATGTTTTTACAAGATCTAATTGTATAACTCCAATATTTTAAAAATACATCAGCACACATCTGATTTTAAAAATACTGTGGTGCATTTCTTATTTTAAAAATACAGCCAGGCACATCTGATTAAAAAAAAAGTCAGTATAAAAATTTTTTTTAAAGCATGTTCCCAGTCCTTGCTTGCACCAGATGTACGAGGAAGGGCCAGTCTACATAGGATGAGGTTATTCCATTTTATCATTACGAAGAAAGTCCAGTTTTTGCCAGACGAGGTTGTTCCAATTTTAGGAAAAGGAATATGTTCACGATTTTATTCCATTTCAGCACCAAAAAAAAAAATTCGAAAATACGAGGTTATTCAGGTTATTCCTGACAATGATATTCCTGACAAAATAAAATCTCCACGACATTATTCCAGCTTGACGAGGTTAGTCCTGGCGACGTTATTCCAGCCACCCGGGGGAGCTACTTGATCCTTCATACTCCCACGAATTTTCGAAATGGGCTAAAATCTTATGCCGATGAAAACCGACTCTTTGAAAAGAAATGTTTGCGCACATTTTTTTTATTTATGTTGCGCACATAAATATATAAGCTTCATTTAATTACTCAGTACTTGACACGAAGGATTAGAAACATTTTCTGGGAAGCTTTTGACATTTGGCGACACCTACCTTCCTACACTGAACCACGACTATAAAGCAAATCCTTGCTAACCAGGTGTAACTCCAAGTACCCTCCTCGTCCATTTTGGACTTTCAGAGTTATACGATATAAAATCCACAGGACAAGGGTCTGAGTGCATGTCAACATTCTGAAATGACAGGCCTTTTTGGCTTTTTCAGTACACCGTGTTTAATAAATGACATAACCAATTGAAGCGCTTCCTTGTCTTGTCACGTTCGAAGTAAACAATCTACCAGGAAATAGTATGAAATGGCATCCTAAATTCGTCGTGTCAATATAATACCTTCACAGTATTGACACTTAACTATATTGATCTCAACGTTAGCTGAGGTTCTGGAAAAAGAGTGCACACGAGAAAAAAAAACTTTGCAAAATTTCAAATTCCTGACAAATATCGCACGTTTAAAAAACGTGGAAGAAATAAATACGAGTAAAACTTCAAATTTCACTTCTTATTCCACAGAATCACGGGAACGCATATTATCATATAACAAACAAAAAATAATATCGCAACCTTTCCAATGGCGTTAACACGCAGCTTCATAAAACTGCGATTAAAATCTGCTCGACAGTCATAATTACTTTTTTGCTGGTTCGAACGAGGGGAAATGCCATAAACACGTTTCAATCAAGGCGAATGCCGACGACAGGTTCCATAAAAATTGCACTCGGTTGCCAAATATGGGCAATCACTGAGGTACAGGCGGGAAACGATATGCGCAAGGAAGACGTTCACGCAAGCACTCAATCGAACATGTTGTGCAAAAACTTCTTTGACCACTCGTACACGACGAATAATACACCAGTCGCAGGGAAAGTCCGGACAAGAGACGGGGCGAGTCCATTGTAAAACGGTCGAATACCTGAGCGAAGAAAATGAAACACATCGTCCAAAACGCCCAAGGAAACATTTCAAATAGAAGATATGAACCTCCTTCGGTCTTGTAAATGTGACGCATGACCTGAAGCAACCCTTCGTTGGAACTCTGAATTTGTACTCGGGATTTGAC